ACTCTGTTCCTGTTTGTCCTCCACGTGGTGCACAGGGTTTTGTTGTGTTTCTGTTCCTATTACAAACAAAGCTACAGGAAACAATGGTTTATGTCTGTCTTGGTAAACTTGAGGAGTATCTCTTTATGTTTCCCAGTGGTACAACAGAGTCCAAAGACTATTATACTTAAAATGCCAACAAATGGTGCCCAACTGCTCTTCAGAACCGTACACTTCACACTGCCATCAACTATAAAGCCACCCTGCTTTCCCACACCTTCACTCAAGTCAGTACGAAACTTCCAAATTATTACCCCAGTTAAGAGATAAGAAATACTGTATCGTTGTTTTGATTTACATTTCTTTAATTATGAGAGAAGTAACCATTTTTTTAATGTCTACTGGCCTTTCATATTTATTTTGCTGCCAAATGCCTGTTCAAATCCTTTGTCTTGTCTGTAATGGACTATTAGTCCTTTTCATTTATAAAAGGTCTTTTTCATTTAATAAAAGGAAATTTTCCATTTGTGGCGCAAATTTTTTTCCTCAGTTTGTCATCTGTCTTTTGAGTTTGATTATAATATTATTTTTCCACTCAGAACTTTAAATACATATATCCACTTTTTTCCTCTATGGCATCTGGCCTTTACATCTGTTTGAAAAGAAAGTATCACAACAAAAACATAAATTAATCCATGTTTTCTTAAGTTTTTTTTGTTATTGTTTTTAAGAGTATTAAAAAAATTTTTTTTAAATCCTCGTTTATCTGAATGTTTTGGCCGAGGCAGAAATCCGGATGGCATGCTCCTTCCTTCCTTCTCCGACAGGCAGTGCTGTCAGAGCAGATGCCCTCATGGGTTCAGGTCTTTTTCCGGATTCTGTTTGATTCCACTGCTCTACTTCTTCTGTAGCACAAATTTATTCTGATTATTGTGCTTCAAAACACATTTTAATACCTATCTGCTTTATTTTCTATTACCTATTTCCCATTTCTTGCATTAATTTTTCTAGGTGAAATATTAGTATCATTTTTGTCAAACCCCCTGCCCCGCCCCCAAAGAGGAAAACTCCTACTCACAATATAAATGATTATTAATTCTAATAGACGAATTAATATACTGCATGGCATCTTTAGAAAATGTAATATACATGCCTAAGCATGTGAGGTGTCTTTTCTTTTACTCGAAGTATCCTTATATCTTTAGTAAAGTTAATGATGATTTATTTACATAATCCTGAATATTTCTTGTCACATTTATTCTTGGTTGTTTGACGTGTTTTATTGTTGCTGGGACATTTTCTTCATTATAATTTTTAAAAATATGTATTGTAACCAGGTTAAGAAACAGAAACTTACCAATATCCATTACATCCAAAGCTAGGGTGTCCCACCCCCAGGTAGTCATGATCTTGACTACTGTGTTCTCATTTCCTCGCTTTTCTTTACAGTTTTACCATCTATGTGTGCATCCCAACCAGTATAAAGTTTGGCTTTTGAAAACTCAATAGCAAGAATAAAACTAGCGGCACAAGCAAGAGCAATATTGTCATTATCAAAAGAAGGGTCACAGGAAAAAATAAACTTGTCTCTAGATCACAGTTTACAAGTTAAGAAACCTCTTACGATGAAATCAGAGGGCAAGGGCATAAGCAAGGCCCAGAAGACAGTGGGCTCACCACTCTCAGGCTACCTGGCAGGACTGCGTGTGAACAAGTGCAGCCCAGAGACGGACTCTGAAGTGGGCTGCACTGCACCTCCTGCTTTCCTGCCTTTCGAGGATTCTATGGTGTCACAGGTGGAAATTCTTAGTTCTCCTGTGCTGACTTGGGATTTGGCCTTCTTGGGTAGGAGACCATCCGTCCACCTGCAGTACTGCTTCACAGTCTTACTGGTGCTGTATTCTCTGTTGTTCCCCTTGTCCCTGTGGGTTTATGCTTTGAAGAAATCCCTTTGTCACAGTTTTGGTAAGTTCAGCAGGGAGCAAAACTAAACGTGTTTACTCAATTTGTTATTTTAACTCAGAAATCCCACTGAATTTTTTGTCATGGTTACTGTTTGTATGTATGACACCTATTCCTCAGTATGGTGGCCACCTTATTTAATTTTCATATTATTTTATAATTTTTTGGTTAGTCTTCTTAGGTCTTCTGTAATTAGATCAACTACACAGAATTGTTCCTACATTTACTAATATATACACATTTTATTTCACTTGGTAAAATTCATTAAATAATACTTTTAAGAAAAGTTAAAAGATAGCAGTAACAGTAGGCATCCTAAATGTTAATAGGAATGCTTCAAGAGTTCAATCAAAAAGCATGATGGGGAGAGGGTATAGCTCAAGAGGTACAGCGCATGCTCAGCATGCTCAAGGTCTTGGGTTCAACCCCCAGTGCCTCCATTTAAAAAAATAATTAAATAAATACATCTATTTAACTCCCACTTTCCGCAAAAAAAAAAAAGTGTGATGGTTTGATTTGAAACACAGCTTTACAAAAAAACAGCCATTCATCTATATCTATTTAATTAAGTTTTTTTAAAACAAAGAATTAATAATGGACTTATATCTTCTCAATAAAGAAATACCTCCTCGACATTTAATGAGATAATTAGTTTTCTTTCTTTGACTTCTTAAAATAGCATGGTATTAATAATCTCCTGAGAATAGACAAATCTTCCACACTTAGGGGGATCCAATTTAGTAATGATTTATTATTCTTTTTATTTACTTCTGAATATATTTGCTAATGTTTCATTTAAGATTTCTTGAATATGCTTCTATTTGCTATTAATTATTAATCAATGATAAATATTTACAAAGGAGACAGGGCCATAATTTTCTATTTATCTACTTCTATTTATCAAGTTTTATACTAACAGAAATAACAATGCACAAGATTTCCTTCTTTTTCTATTTTATGTAACAGTTTAAATAGAACTATCTGTTTCCTAAAATTTGAAGAACTTCCTTATGAAATCATCTGGTCCTGCCCATCTCCTTACTGACAGATGCAGTAACAGCCTTCAAACTGAACCTGAAATCCTTTTCCTGCCTGAGAATAGAGCATGGCCTATGCCCTACTGTCCAATGGCTGGGGTCAGCGGGGTTCCTCCTCCCCAACCCTTGCCCCACCCAAGAGGAGGAGCCCAGTAAGACACTTTCCCTACGGACGTAGGAAGCCTGAATACTGTTAGTGGACTCTGAAGGCGTAAAATCTCCAGTATCAGTGAGAGAGAATCAGAAACAACGTTTGGTGTGTCCCCCCTTTTTATTCTTGATACTGGTTATTTGTTCTTTGTCCTTCTCCTCTTTCCTGATAATCTCATCAGAGGTTTGTAAGTTATACTAGTATCTAAGGTACGACTGCTTACTATTTCATCAAATATTTAGTATCTAGTATTTGTCAATATTTCCTTCCTTTGGTTTCACTCCTTGAGATGCATGCCTAGCTAATTAATCTGCAGTTTTTCTTTTTCAGTATAAGCGTTGAAAGCTTACCAATTTTCCCTGGGCAGTCTTTAGTTGCATCCCACAAATTTCAATTCATGTCGTATTCTCGTGAACAGTCATTCAAAATGTTTTCTAGTTTCCATTATGATTTTCCTTTGATCATTTATTTATTTAAAAGTGTATTTCTTAAGTGTCAAGCATACAGCCCTTGTCTTTCTTTAAACTTTTACCACCAATGTCTACATCCTTAAACAATATTATAAGATTATATTAGCTAGCATAGAAGCTTTTAAACTTTATATACACAGACTCATACTACATGTATTTTTTAGGAAAAGAACTGTTTTACTGTGTTACACATTTCTGAGATTCAATCTCACTGACTCACGTTGCTCTAGTTTTTTTTACTGCTATATAGCAGTCTATTAAAGAGCCACACCAATTTAAACATGCCTGACTATGGGCATTTAGGGATTATTACCAATTTCACCACACTATAAGAAACATCTTTTTTACATGACTCCTCACATATAGACATAAGATTTCGCTCAGGTATTAAGTGAGGAATAGAATTGCATTCTCAACTTTTATTTTTAAGAAATTGTTTTCTAAAATGGTTATAGCACTTAGCTCTTTTATCAACAATGTATCAGAATTCCCTCCCTATTATATCACAAATTTTTCACAATTTAATGGATATGAAATAATAGCCCCTACTTTTAATGTGCTTTCCCCCACCTTAAAAGGGAGGTTAAACATCTTTTCATGTTTCTTGGCTATTTGTGTCTCCTCTTCTCTGAATTATGTTTATACCTCTGGTCTTCTTTTCTACTAATTGGTTTGATTTTTTTTCGTACTAAACTATAGAAGTTCTTGAATATACTGTGTATACTAGCCCTTTTTGATTCTATTAAAATAAAATAATAAAAATACCTTCAACCAGTCTATGATTCAGTCTTTCAGGATGATACACTATTATGAAACTCAGAAAACAATCCACTATTTACTGATAGATACATAGGTAATAAAACTACACAGTAAAAGGAAGGGTGTGACAAAACATAAATGTAAAAATTATGATTATCTCTCCAGAAAGGCAAAGTGATGTGAATGGAAAGTAGATACAATGATAATGCTATTTTCATACCGGGTGGTGAATTCACAGGTGTTCATTTTATTATTATCTATTATAGCTTATATATTACATGCAATCTTATGTATTACATATTAAACACAAAGAAGGTCATTTGCAGTATATGCAGACACACAGATATACACATGTACATGCATTCAAATCTGATAGATAATATTCTTATAAACGGAAGAAATAAACATACCCGCCTTAGGTACGTTTGGGGAGATACTGAATGAATTAGGAAGGAGAGAAAACAATCAGAAGAAAGAAAAAAGGAAGGAAGTATAAAAGGAACAGGGGGAGAAAGAAGGAAAGAGAGGCAAGGAAGGAAGGGAATGGAGAGGAGGAGGGAGGAAGGAGAGAACCTTTGCTCTAGTGTTATAAAGACAATCTCTTAATTTTCTTCTTAGAGTTTTAAAAGTTTTGATTTTCACATTTAGAAGTTACTGGTCTATTTGCTTATTCCACAGTGTTACAGCTACCAAGTAAGTTCTGTTACGTGTGAGGGCAAATCCTTCTGCACCTTGTCCTTCAAATTTACCTTTTCTGTTATTGCCCTTTTCCATATACGTTTTTCAACTATCTTGTGAAATTCTATATAAAGGCCAACTACGTTATTAAAGTGATTGTACTCTGTGTATTGACATGAGGGAAACTGACACTTTCAAGACACTGAGACTTCCTATACATGGACATGAGATATATTTCCATTTATTTAAGTATTCTTTAATGTTTTTCAACAAAGACTTTATTACCACTTTTTCAAAAAAGATCCTGCTGTCAAATCTTTACTACTGAATATCACAATAAGCAAACATTTTATGAATAAAATATTTGGTTGAATTTCTAGATATTTCCTTAGGGTCAAGTCTTAGAAGACTGTCACCTAAATGTGTGTGACCACAGTAGTGCCAAAAGTGGAAGTCTTTATATTAACTTCTAATTTTCCTGAATCATAGTCTCTAATTTTTAAAAATTCAGAGTATTCTATTTGATCTCATCATATTTTTTTAAAAAAAGTTCTTTCATACATATTACTAGATGTGTAATACTAATACAATTCATGATATAATTTTATAACTCTTGTAACATGTTTAAGACTAGTCATAATGAAAAACCAGGAAGGGGGGGGAACCTGATGTTTTTACAAAACCTGAATTGCATCTTTCATTAGAATGTTTAATATTTAGAAACAAATTTATAAAAGGCATGATTTAGTCACTTCAGTTACATTTGAGTCCTAGAGTTTTCTTTGGCAACATGTAGCTTAGTTTTAGCTCTCAAAGTGTTGATCTCTGCCATCAGAGACCACCAACACAAGTTTCAGGATGAGCACTGAATAGGAGAATGTTGTGACAGAACAGTTTGGGGCAAGTCTGGAGGTAAAGGCAAGAACGAAAAACAGAAACACAGGCCTCCCATCTGCCTCTGACTCTCCCCTTGCTCTCCCTGCCAGAGAAATGACAACAGTGAGGACAATAAAGGTGTGCCACCCTCTAGCTCCCCTCTCCCGGGGCACACTGTCCATAGCACCTTAACTTAACCCTGTTTTCTTTAACCCCAGGAGAATCAAGTCTATTCTGTTTGTGGAAGCTTCTATTGGTAGTAGCATTACATTCAAAATAGGAGGGAGAAAGGAGAGAGAAAAAAGTATCCATTATATTAATGGAGGGAAACACTACAGAAAACTGAGAGCAACCCTTGGCAGATGACAAATATTTAGTAGGCGTATTTACTTTTCTTGAAAATTTTTCATAAGATAAAACACAGAGGTAGAAGGCAACACAAAATACATTCATATAAAAAAAAAATTGCAGCAGTATACCTTTGGAGTGGGCCCTGGAGAGGGGAAGGGAAGGTAAGACTGTTTCTTATTTTTCACATTGAATAATAATTTTTTTTTACCATAAGCTCGTATTATTTTTTGTAATAATAACTTTTTAAAGATTAAAGTTAAAAAAAAAAAACTCCATTAGGGCTAAAAAGTAGGCTCAAATCACAACACTTCTCTCTTTTGCTAACCATCTGCTAAAGTCACACAGATCAGCATGATCCCTGGCCAGACACTCAACTCTAAATAAATCAGATGCTTAGCACATTCTAGAATAAATATTCAAAAAATATGAGCATTCTTCCTATTCAATAAAAATGTTTTTTATTTTAGAAACTACTTTTAAGTTTCATATACCTGATCTTTTTTGATCTTCATTACAACCCTATATCATAAATAAGAACTAATGTTCATTTATGTTTACATCTTATAGAGGAGGAAAATGAAGTCAAGAAGAGTTAAGTCTTTAATACGGCCTTCTAAACAGATTAACTTTCATTATTCATAGACTAACATTCCCAGAGGGAGTCTAACACACCATTCGCAAGGCTCAGAATTCACTTACCTGGTATGTCCTAAAGATTCCCGCCATATTGGTAGCATCACAACTGGCTTAACTGCACACTCCAAAATAGCTAATGCCAATGCAAATTCTCTGGGTTTGCT